ATAAACCAGTATTTCTTCAATGCTGTTTGGTGGAGACTAGACGTATTGGAGGGGCTGTGACCCTAGCTGCTCTAGCATTTGATCCATATACCCAGTGACTAACGTCCTTCATCTGATTAAAATATATGGTTAAAAATGATCTAAAAAGTGTATCGTAAAATTTGTCTATGTTGAAATTGAAATGAAAATTTCTGTAAACATTTGGGATCATATAAGTACATAACTACAAAATATCTATAGGTCTAGTCATTTGTAATGCAGAAAAGTTACATATTATAACGTGAAGATGATGCTCAAATCTATTCATTAATTTCACATGTGTAGTGACCATCTGCAGGGACTCAGTTTGCAGAAATCATACATTAAAAGTTGTGACACTTAAGAGTTGGACAGAATAGTAAGTAATGCAAACTTTCTCTTAACGGATATGTTATTGCAAAATGCAAATGAAAGGGCCTCGCATTCAAAGTTTTCTATCAATGAGTGCCTTCACCTGTTATGTATTGGACATAAACATTTTATTCTGGTTCAAGAAACCTGGATAAACCCAGCGGTATGCAACCTCTGATAATCACCTGGGTGCTGTGGCATGTAAACACCTGATCCAGTTTTCTGGACACTCTCTGTTGGTGCAGGTTGAGTTATTGAGAAATCAAGACACAACTCCATACTAATGATCATATACCTCGATATTGTTAGGACCATGTATACAGGGATGTGAGTAACCCGCTTTTATTATGATTCATTTAAACATCAGATCCCAAGTTAGATCAAATTCAAGATCTAATATGAATGCAAATGTATTCAGTGAGAGTAGACAAAATATCAGAAACCCCTTTCTAGACAATATAACACAATTCACCTCAAACTACATCCTCTAAGACGAACATAAAAGTGAATCTAAACCTGAATGAATGCAAATTATGAGAAGATGCTTGGGCCTGTTGAGTCCATACTATTAAGGGATGGATTAGGAACGGTATGTAAGGGTTAAAAGAGTAACACAATTACATTTTTGAATCAATCCATTTTCTTTTATTTTGAAAACAATTTTTTTTACGTTACATTGGGGAAAAAAGCTGCATCTTGCAGGAAAAAAAAAACAGTTATCAGAATTTAGACGTGGCCGGAATCAAGACAAAATTCCAGGAAATCCAGACACAGTTATACAAAAAGTGAGTCATTTTTCAACTGAAAAACATGATTTTATCGGATTTCTGAGAAACTGTATAGACTTTACTAAGCAGCATAGTGTTTCAGTCATTATTCACTGATTATTCCATCAATCTTTTCACTGCCTGTCTGACTATGTTTTGATAACAAACGGTCAGGCTGAACAGTTCACTTAATTTTTGTTTAAAGCCAAAATATTATTTCATCTCTTCTGGCAGTAGGTTTAGTTTAATGTCTTTTGGAACTATTTTCATGATTACATGTGATAGAAAATCATGAACAGTTGTATGTCAAAACTGCAGACCACCCCAGGATCCCATGCATAAAGTCCATATATAAAACTATAGTGTCAGTGAGGTAAAAAAGATAATCAATCGTTACAATAACACAGCATTTGTGTCTTTTAATTCTTAAATTAATCTATGCGATTTATTTGCAGAAAATAGAGACAAAATGAAGCTGTAACACAAGGAATAGAGTCTCTCTACAGTATTTCTCTTGATACCTGCAGTGCTGAAAATAACATGGTAATATGACCGCATCCACTCATTTAACAAATCTCATGATGGGACAGGAGGAATGGCTGCTGTTGCTAACGTGGCACTTGTTTCATAATTCAATAAAATGTTGCTTATAGTCTTCCTGACTACTCCACATGGTTTCTGTCTCCAAAGCGAATAGAGTCAATATTGACATTTGTTGTGTGGTTTGTGGGTTTTTAAACACATCGCTATTAAACAGCACTTCTGCAAAGTTTGATTTGTGTGTCTTGCTTAGTTCACATGCCAAAATCCAATTTTATATCCCGGTGCAACCACCTTCCACTGGACATAAGATATGTTACAGGCCTGACCATCGCTCCGAGTTACATCTCTGAAGTGACATTTTTCATTTCTGAAGACGAGCAGCAGCGAGTCAGTAGACACTGTTTCTCAATTGGTGATGGGCAACATCAATAAAGATTATTGAACCACCAGTTTCTCATTGTCAGTCCGTCTTTGCATCTTCAAGGCCAGCAGTCCTTTCTGTTCACCTTGTAATGCAGTCTCGATCCATGCAAATGTATAGCATACAGTAGATATACAGCAAATGATGTATATTACAGGCTGTTTGTTGGTCGTTGCAGTCCTTTATCGTTTTCATAATATATCCAATGTTCAGAGTCCACCCGCACAATAATGATAATGACATTTACTTGAAACAATGGTAAACCAGTGAGACTGAGGACACCATCACAGAGCTGCTTTTGTCTCTGTCAGGGCTTGAGAATCTTCTCTTGACCCCACACAGTCTCCTAAGCTCTGCTGCTCACTACTTCCTTATGCATGAACTGCACTATGCTGCCGCCAAGAGACTGACTGTGGATGTGTCTGTGTTTACTAATGCCCACTCTTAGTCGGACACAAAGTTGAACATTCAGTATTTATGCAGGTTGATGAAGAAACAGTGTCAGCTACTTTCTGTGGATGACTTCCTGCTCATCTGTTCCGCTCCGAGGGTGGATTCAGTTTTAGCTTAAAGCAGAGACCGGCTTTTATGGGCCTCTGTGAGCGGTGTCGGAGTCTTGGTCCATCTTAGCTGAACGTGCAATTGATTTTGTTCTTAGCTGATGCTAATCAAGCTTTGCCATAAAAACGACTGTGAGATGGAGCTCTCAATAGAGTTTGTAGCTAATATCTACAAATAGCTGGCTTTTAGCCATGTGTGGTGTAGGTCTATGGATTGAAATGTTGGTCTGTCGGTTGGTTGTTCCACTACTTTGGTCCAGACTAAAATATTTCAACAACAATGTGATTGATTGCCATGACATTCTGTAAAGAAATGATTGGTCCCAAAAGGATGGATCAATGAATGAATTTGGTGATCATCTGACTTTCCTGTAGTGCCATCATCAGAGTGAAATGTCTTGAGAACTATTGGATGGACTGTCATAACATTGTATCCTGATAGACTCTTGTTTGGTTATTTTATTACCCTTAACATACAGTATGTTAAATACTATCTATAGCATTTAACATACTCTATGCTAAATGCTATTGTATTTTTAAGACTAGAAAGGCCCTGGCTGCTGTTTTTAACAGCTTGAATTATCTATGAATTCTTGACTTCAACACCTGTGTAAATTTTGTGTTTGACTGACCGTAGACGGGGCTCCTGGGGTTTGGGAGGTTGTAAATGAACAAGGAGTGATATAGTGCCGAGTAGAGTTACATAGAAAAGAGTTTCCTGAGGGCAAAGAAACCGCTCTAAACTTTGCACACAGTATAGATATTGGTTGGCAGCTACAGAAAGTCTGACTTAGTTCCCAGATATTACACATAGAAAATACATGGAGAAAGAAAGCAGCTATACTAGACCAAAAAAACAACACTGTCTTAAATGTTTCATGTGACTTTCAGTGACTTACGATGAACAGTTAAGCATGTCTAATGTCTTCATCATAGACTCCTTAACAGGGAGAAAATGTAATGAAGAACAAAAAAAGGGCCTGTATTTGTGCACATATTAAACATATTCAATTTTCTTACTTTTCTGCATTTGACAGCCACCCTCCGTTTCACATTGTGTGGTCTCCCAAAGCACTCTGTCTCCTAGCTGACACAATTCCCATATTTTTAGTGTCTTCGGAAAAAAAAAAAAAAAAACTAGAGTGTTGTGAATAATGCAGCCTTTTGAAGGAAGGTAGTGGCTCAGTGTTTGGCACTGTAGCCTCACAGCTCGAGGAAGCCTGACCTTTCTTTGGTAGAGTTTGTTTGAATGGTCCACACTCTGAACACATGTTAGTTAAATGGTTTGGAGAAGCTGTAGATCTGAATGTCAGCTGTAGTCCCGTTTGGAAAAGGGTAAGAAAAATAATGAATTAACAGATGAAGCTCCTCTGTATTCACAAACATCCCTTTTGCAGTTTTAAATAGTTAATTAACAGTAAAACAATATGTCCTTTGTAATAATTCTAAATACACTGCCCCTCCTTTACTCATCCATTTTCTGTCTGCACTCTGCTCTCACAAAGAACATTTTGTGGTCAAAGGAAAATGCTGCATGATCCTAGCAATAGCCTTTGCCCTTTTACTACTCTTGTAATTTTCATGAGGTGATGCACTCACTTTGAGTTTCCTGTCGATAAGTGCATCAGCAACATTGCTGATCATCGTACTTCTACTTGAATACTGGCTCTGACCAGCGGGCCTCCTGCAGAAACGCTGTCTGCAGAATAGAGGTTTTCTGGTAACTGCAAGATGCATTCAAGTAGGAAGTCATACTGTTTGTTTCAGCCTCTGTCACGTTTTTCTTAAGGAGACTGAAATAATCTGGTAACACTGTTCCTGCAGTTTGTCTTGTTTTAGGAATTTCATTAAGAAAAATGTGTGTTTTCTTCTTCTTATTGTGATGGTTATTATTCAACATATTACTCCAGACTCTCTCATGTAACCCACCTGCTTCTCTGCTCCCACCACATGACTGCTGATGTCAGCCAAGCCAGAGTCAAGGCTGGGAACCTGTAGACAAAATGGTGTTTGTGCGTCCCTCCAGCAGAGTGAGCGTGTGTGGGCTACACAGGCTAAAGTGGGGAAGAGGAGAAAAAAAAAACAAACAGAAAAAAAAACAGCCAATTAAACTGATGACACAACCCTCCCTATTGTAGCCATGTGTGTGCGTGCGTGCGTGTTTATTTTACAGCATATGTTTTTTATGAAGTTCACGCAGCCATATGAGAAATTAGCCTCTGTATTCACCGGGGTCCTCCCACCCCTCTGTCTTGTTCTCTAATCCGCCCACATGTATCGTCTGAGGAAAAAAAAATAGTGCAGAAGGTGACGCTCTTCCAACGGAACAGAGACAGGCTCAGAGAGGGAAAGGCAAAGAGAGAGGTGTCTACAGGCTGCATCTCCACTGAAACATTTGGAAAGGGGGGAGACAGAAGAAGAGCTGAATGGTAGCTACACCCTGCGCCTGGAAGCGTAGAGACACTGTAACAAAGGCTGGCAATTATTTTTTGGCAATAACAAAGAGGTGGGAGAGGGGCTCTGAAATCGAGGGAAATAGAAAAATCAGCCAGTTTTCAGGGGGACCTCTGCTTCATTTCATCCGAAAGACTCATCCCTTGCCATCATCAGCATGACCATAAGCTATAAGTAACATTCGGCAATAACGGTGTCAAAACGAGATTTTCAGCAACAGACGCGCGCAATCCTATTTTGATTTATTATAATCGGGGGAGAAAAAAAAAAAGATCAACTGAATGCCTGCGAGAAACTGGATACTCTCTGAAATCATAAGAAAGAGCGATCTAACAAAGAAAACTACATTTTGATTGATCTTTAAGCTTGATGTGCGTGTTTCTGCACGCACTCGAAACGAACCTGAACCAAAAGCAAGTGAGTATTAACCGTGTCTGTGTATATGTCTGTATTTTGGTGGCTTTATTCTGCGTTTATCCGTCTAATAACAGAGCATTTTCTGGCCAGCTCTACAAGAAAAAACCAACAAAAAAAAAACCAACAGAAAATACAAGCGTCTAACCTGCATTCAACAAGTATCGTTTAATCCACTATCTGCGATTTTTTTTTTCCTTTTAGCATGTGTGTGTTTTGATCAATATCTGGAGGAATCAAAATGTGGAAAATTTTCAAATTGGAATCTTAAACATCTTCAGTGTATTCTATTTTCTATAGCCATTCTATTCTATATTTCTGCTGCAATACAAAGAGAACTGTACTTTTACACAGTCAGGTTTGAATTATCCACTGATGTGACGCCTGAAAATTTCATTTTGTAAATCCTAACATTCCTCATTGCACAAATGGTGGGTGTTTCCCCATCTCCACCACTAGATCAGAGCAGTTTCATGCCTCTGAGAGGAATGTGTGTGTGTGTGTGTGTGTGTGTGCCTGCCTGCGTGCGTGCGTGCGTGCGTGCGTGCGTGCATTCCTCTCGGCATCATTTTGTGTCTGTCTGCTGTGAGTTTCCATGTGTGTCTTGGTTTGTGCTTTTTGTATGCATGCATTTGTTTTACTTGCATGTGCCCTCAGTGTGTGTTTGTGTCTGTCTGTGTGTGTGTGTGTGTGTGTGTGTGTGTGTGTGTGTGTGTGTTCCTGCTTCGTGGCAGCACTGGGTAAGTGTCAAGGCCTGAAATGGAGGTTTGATAAAGGAACCACAGGAGGAGGGTGAGAGGGCTGACACACAAACACACACACACACACACACATACATGAGAGAGAGGGAGAGGAGAGGAAGGTGTGAGGAAGAGATTGGAAGGGGTGGGGTGGGTGGGGGGGCACTGGTGTGGAACCACAGGAAGGACATAGCGTTACGGAGATCTCATCCTGGAAGTCTATGGGGGCAGTTTAACGTCTAGACTCTGTCAACTTGCTCCATCCGCATTACACGCAAAGTCTCCAGTTTCATAACGCCTCCTCTTCCTTCACTTTCCAGCACATGCCTCGCTTTTTCTCCTGCCAACTGGCTCCAGCGTGCTCTTCGCCTAATGGGAACTCTGCCTCTCTTCCTCCATTTGCTCTCTCCCTGCTCCCCCCCCCCTCAATCCTGCATTATAAAATCTACAGCTGGAGCTATTTTTAGATTGAGGGTAACCCAGAAAACACCCCCTTCGATTTTAGCAAAAAAAAAGAAAAAAGAAGAAGCCTTCCCACCAGAGACAGTGGCATGTTGTCAGTGGATGTGATTGGTAGAGTAGTGATGGGGCATGAAAAGGAGGGCGCTGCTGTTTAAGCAAGAAAGAGAGAGGGGGGAGAATAAATCTATTTTGAGGCTGTGATTGAATTACGCATCTGTCGTATCCTGGGATTGCGTGTGTGTGTTCTTTGCCTCTGACCCTTCCTCTCTCCTTGGCTGTGATGGTTTCTTTCTCATCTCACGTCACTTAGGAGAACTTTCCCTCTGTCCTTCAACTAATTTATGACCCGATCAAGCTTCTTTTTAAACCCCTGAAGCCTTGACCTTGAGGCTCACCTCGAGCTCGCCTTTCATCTTCTCTCATCTCCTTTGTTCCCATTAAAAGTCGCCTTCTCTCCCTCCGTCCCAGCTGTTCAGACTCTAATCTGTGACTTCCGTACCCCTCCTCTGTGTCCAATCGCAGGCTAGTTCACAGGTCAGGAATCAGTGCAGTAATACTTCTTTTCCTCGTCCCGTTTCACTGTCTGGCCCCATTGCACCGCTGGATCATAATGGTCCTGATAATGCACGAAGGGCAGTGTCATTAATTAGGCGTAGGCAGGTTTAAACGACCGAAGAGAGAGTTGGAAGTTGTGGAGGTTAAATGTATTTGCTCTTGATGCAAATTCGCCCCAGAACCAGATTTTAAAGTTGAATACTGAGGGATATTTGCCCGGATTTATCTAAGTCCAAAAATAGAGTTCCTTCCCGACATTGGACAACTGCTAGTCTATCCAATGCCCCCCCCCCCCCGCACTCAGTGCTTCAGGATTTTTCTGACCTCTCTTACACCAATCATTGATCCTTGAAAGGAGCTTTAGTACCTCTTCTCCCATCACTCCCTTCACCTTACATCCTTCTGTCACCTGTGAAGTCTCACACAGTGGGCATATCTATCGAAAGAATCTCAGCATTTGTCCTCCTGTGGGCAGGAAGGATTTTAGTCATGGACACTGACTGAGCTTTCAGAGCTCTATTACAGGCTTCATTGCTGCTGGTCTATTCCTGAAAATGGCCTTATGTATTAATCATCCCCAGCTAGCTAAAAGGAGAAAACCAGGAGCATATGATTCTTTTTTTTTTCCCCCTCATAAAAAAAAGAAAAAGAAAAGAAAGGTGGCTGGAGGCGATCATAGCAAGAGAGCAGCAGCAGCAGCAGCAACTTCTAGGGGTGGGGTGGGGTGGTGGTGGGGGGGTGTGATTGACCATTATGCACAAGGCTCGAGACCCCTGAAGGGGTGTTGGTGCTGCAGTATGTGTGGATTGGTCAGCCCCTGGAGATCTCCACGCTGGTGTTGCTGAGTAGAGGAGCTGCCTCTGGTAGATTTCCTCTCTGCTTGCCTAATTGATTGGCTATTTAATTCATGTTCTGGGAATTGGCCACTCATGAGCTTTATTATGATGAGAAATGCCTTGTTTTTTTTTTCCTTCTCTGTTTACATGAGCTGTGTCAGAGCTGCTGGGTCATTGTGTGGCCTCGCTCTGTGTGTGTTTTTTTTTGTTTTTTGTTTGTTTTTTTATCTGCATACACACCCTGTCTGTTTTTGTCTCTCTCTCCATCCATTCATGCGATTCCTCCCGTTTTCATTCTTATTTATTCAATTCATACGCGCCACCTACCTCTCACCACTCTCCTCGCACATGCACGGGCACCGTATCTGTCTTCTCTCCTCTCCTGGCAGAATCTGAGTTACACCATGAGGTGCAATGACGATCTGAGGGGGGAGAGGACAGTGTGTGGTGTGACACCGCACTAAAAGGGGAGGTGACCGCAGTGCTTTCACCGGCGCTGCAGTGCCTCGCTTTCTCCTGTTGGGGTCTCCTCAACACTGGGGAGTGCGTGAGAGAGGAGAGGAGAGGGAGATAAGGTAGAGATGAGGAGGGGTTGACGAAGGAGGAGAGGAGAGGAGAGGAGGAAGGGAGGGAGGCGGTATGGATGGAACAGCGTGAAGCCTTGTGGTTACATCCTTTGATGAGGTAGCGGGTGGTGGAAAAAAAATGGCTGTGCACCAGAAACACATACGTAATTCGTGCTCCCTCTCTCTCCCTTTCTCTCTCTTCCTTTCAAACATACATACACACACACACACACACACACACACACACAAACATAAACATACATTACACACTTGCCCGCAATGCCCTCCTTTTCCCCAGTGGTACATTTGCCATTCAGCTCAGCTGTATATCTGTTTTACATCCCTTCACTTGTTTTCCTTCCTCTCCTCCCCTATCTTTATCACTCCACTGTTTCCATTCCTTTTATTAGTATTGCAGACCATTTCTAAGCCCCAGTACCCCCCACCCCACCACCCATCCACCCTTGTGAGCCACTGCAAGGTCTTTTTCTGTCTTTTGTCCCTCTCCTCCCTCACTTTTTCTCTCCCCTCTTTCATTTTCCCCAACATCTTCTCTCTCCTCTACCTTGCCCACTCACCCCCCCACACACACACTCTCTTTCAATCCTTTTCTGTCTTTCCCTTCCCAACACTCCTCCTTCTCCATCTCATCTCACTCCCCCTATTTCTCCCCCTGTGTGATTGGTAAAGGTTTTTGCTCTTTCTGCCAACTGCTGGGTCTGTTCCGCACAGTCAGCACTCCTCCAAATTCCTCCCCTGCCTTCTCTGCCCCCCCCCTTCCCCCCAGTTACTGCTGCTGGTACCTCACAGTCAATGCATCCCATAATCCCGTGCTCCCTCCCCCTCTTGCTGCAGTGTTTCTGCTAATATATATTAGCGTCAGTGCAGCTTTCGTGCATGAGCCGTGTGCACGCTCTTTCTCTCTCACAGCCCCAGTCTCTCTATCTCTCAGTCCACTGCAGAAATGATCTGCTCTCTCTAATGGTTTACAATCATTAAGATTCGTTTTGGTTTTTTCTCAGCCCGTTTGTTCTACTCAGGTGTGTGTGTGTGTGTGTGCGTCTCCTCCCCTTCCTCCCTCCCTCTCTCTCTCGCATTCTCTCCCCTTGTGTGTGTGTGTGTGCAGTGGTGAGGCAGTGGTAGCAGGGTGGTGCAGGACATGGTGGCCAAGGCAGGAAATGCTGCAGGAGAGAGAGAAAGAGAGGTGGCGGTGGTGGGGGGACTGTACCTCTCCTCTGCTCCCCCTCCTCCTCCTCATGCCTCTCGCTCAGTTTTTAGCTCCTTCCTCATGCATACTCTCCTTCTGCCTTCCTTCTCACCTCTGTGCTTGTTTCATCTGCACTGGATCTTGACTTCATTCCTCCATTTTACACTCAATGCTCACTTTTTCTATCCTCCATCCCCCACTCCATACCTCTCCTCCTCCACCCCCCCTACTCTTTGGTATTTTGTTTTGTTTTTTCCAAGAAATTGCGCTGTCAGTGATCAAAGTGCTGAGGCCGACTCTTAAAGAGATGTGCTTACCTCCCCTGTATTAAACTGAAAACTGCGGGCATTCACCTGAAATGCAGCTAGAACTCACTCAACTCACATGCCCTGAGCTCATTAAGATCAGTCATCTGGTCTTGTTGACAACTACTTTCACTCAAACTTCAAATTTGAGCTCTAACGATGTAATTAGTTCCAAGGACAGGTGGGAAGAACCCAGCTACACCCTGTCCCAATTAACCTCCAAATTACATGAAGGAATACTTAAGCAAATGTATGAAATCAATAAGCTCACCACGCATGAGTCCCACTGAACAAAAAGCCATTTAACCACAGTTACAGACTTGTGGCTGTCTGTGTATAAAATATTCAGCAGTTTACCAAGAAGCTACAACTGCCTAGGAAGTACAAGTCATGGTGCAGAGTTACAAAGTGAAGCAAAAAAAAAACCAACAAAAAAACAACAAAAATCAACAACAAAATCAAGGGATAAAAGTTTCCCAGTGAGATCACAGGAGCTGCTTCTAAAAAGTTCAGGATCCTGTTAGAGGGAGTTTGTCCCAGCGAGAGTGAGTGCGCCGCTGTCCATGGTGCTGAAATATAACCCACCTCACAACACAAGCGGTCCCTGCAGGACAGCCCCACAGGACAAAGCTGAGTCTGGATAAAGATCTTTTTACACTCTCCCTGCCTGACCTCACTTCCAAACAGTCTGTTTGTTGCAGATTATTAGTTTCTCATTAAATGAATCTTGTTTCCTAGTTGCAAAGATGCAAACTAAACAATTTTGGCATAATGATGCAGTGCAACTCTCAAACTCATGAGTGCAGGATTTTTCTTGCCACGCAAGCAGAGTTGGTGCTCCTGCAGCAAACACTGCAAAGACTTGAGAAAAAGGTAGAAATTTAAAGTGTTAAAACACTTAAGTTACTTGATTTTTTTCCTGATCTGTGCACATAAGATATGTCCATTTTAGTTTTTTGTCACGCTATCACAGTATAAAATATTTGTGCTTTGGTTGTTTACCCATGCAAAATCCTCGATCTTAGTCAAGCTTACCTGAGTGTTGTAAAGTCTTTTTCCAGGATCCCCAAAATGGAAAAAAAGTCAAAATAAAATCAGCAAAAAAGAAACTTAATGTCAATATAAGACTTGAAGAGAGACAGCAAACTTTTCCATGAACAAAAAAGAGCAAAAAAAGAGAAAGAAAGTGCAGTGAAATGAGCAAAACAACAGAGTAAACATTACTAAGATGTAAGACAGAACATCTGCAGTGTCCCACATGACAGAAAGCAAAAGTCTGTGGGGGAGAGAGGAGGAGAGTTGCCCCAAAGTGAAGGAATCTCACTTTGGGAGGGGGGTGGGGGGTGGGACAGGAGGATGAATGAAGAAAAAGAGGGGAGAAATGAAAGAAAAGAGTGCAATAGAGCAGAATGCAGTGAGTAGAGGAAACGAGGGACAGAAGAGGCAGAAGTGGAGGGAAAGAAAGATAGAGGGGGAGGGGGCACTGGATCGGAATAAGACCGTGTTGTGAGGAAGGAGGAAGAGGAAGAAGAAGTGAAGCCTTGATTCTGCTCCTTCAATGAAATGTGATTCCTTTATGCGGAATATGAGAGCGAGCGAGGAAGAGAAAGTGAGGGAGAGAGCGAGTAGTGGGAGGGAGAGGGGGAGGGCCAGTGGGAGCTCACAGGAGAGGAGGAGAAGGGGGAGGGGGGGCAGTGGTGCATTTCTTTGAATAGAGAAAAAGGTTAACAACATAGATACGGTACATGTATAGGTTTTTTTTGTTGCTGTGAACGCGTGTCTTTTCTGAAGCAACCCCCCCCCCCCCCCACACCACCCCCCCCAGGATGGCGACACAGCGTCGCGGGCGAACAATCTGACCTCGACTAGGAGAGAGAGAGAGGAGAGAGAGAGAGCAAAAAAACTCTGGCTTTTTACTGCAGCAGAATTCATTCACTTTTATTGTGCACTCTCCTTTTTTTCACCCCCCCCCCCCCCCCCCCAGCCCCCCCCCTTCAAACCCCTTCTTCCATTACTGGGGGAGAGACAATATTACTCTAGCTGTTCACCAGAAGTGTGCTGCTCTCTTCTCCCTTCTCCCCCTACCCCTCTCTCTCTTCGTCCCCGTCCTCAGGTCTTTGTCTGAGCCTGCCTTGTTTTCCTGATTGTTCTGTCCTTTTCGATCCTTCCATTAAAAATCAGATTTATGGCTCCCCCCCCTCACCGCCAACCTCTCTCTCTCTCCCTCCCTCCCTCACCCTCTACCACCCTCTCCTCCTCATTTCTGTCTCCACATGTCTTTACACTCACACACACGCACGCACGCACAACAGTGCATGGGAGAAGTGGCAGAGAGAGCATTGACATAACTGTGCATGAATCTCAGTGCGGTCGGAGGGGGCTGCAGCAGTGTGTGTAGCACGCACATAGGCTGATTGAGGAGATCTAACATTAGTACGGACACTGCACTCTCGGGAGGCAATTAACACACATCACACACACACACACACACACACACACACGGTGCTGTGCCACCTCACGTCAGAGAGGCATTCTGGAGGAAGGGGGAAAGAAGCAGGATGGATCCCCAGTTTTTCCTCTCCTTCTTCCATCTTTCTGTCAACCCCCCCCCCCCCCCCCCCCACACACACACACACACACTCTTGGGCGCTCAGGCAAGGAAAAGAGCAGGTGGGGAGGGTGTGTGTGGGTGGGTGTGTGTGTGTGTGTGTGTGTGTGTGTGGTGGGGTGTTGGGGGTGTCTGTATGCTGAAGTCTCACAGTGGCCTAATTAGGGGGAGGATTTGAATGGACACTGACTCGAGCATCAACCAGATCAATGTAGAGACTGCTGGCGGAACAAGTGAACACGGTGACAGGCTGGAAGAAGAGTTGAGCAGAGGGAGTGAAAGGGAGGGATGGTGACCGTGCTGGGACCCCGGTCACATGACAGTAGCTTAAATCTTTCCCATCACTGAGGTGTTAACAATCAGCCCGCCAGGATGCTGACTCATGAATGTGCTCAAAGCCACCTGCTTTTCATATGCTGCACTAATAAGTTGAGGGGCTTTTCTTTTGCTCCAGGATGCTGTGTGAAAAAACAATTTAGCCACCCTCATTCTCATCCCAACACCCCCCCCCCTCTCACTGCACCTGCACAAGGTCATTTTTGGCGCCCATTCCCTCATCTGATTATCAAGTGAATGATTGCACATACAGCTGCTATAAGCCTGTGGTTCTTCATTTGTATTGCAATGTTGATAATCCACATCTATTTCTCCCTTCTGCTAAAATTTCTGCCCTTTTTCTCTCCCCGCAGACTCCTCAGACTCCTCCCTCCTCCTCCCTTCGGTCTCTCTCATCCTCTCCCTCCCCCCCCGGTCCTCTATGCTCAGTTCGGTGTGTGTATCCTCTTTCAAAGGGCGCAAGGGTGGGAACAAGTCGTCCAACAAAGCATGTTACAGCGCAGACATGACTTGTCCGTCGGAAAGCGAGAAAATCGTGATAAACTGCGGGGGGGTGCGGCATGAGACCTACCGGAGCACCCTAAAAACGTTGCCCGGTACCCGCTTGTCGTGGCTCACCGAACCGGACGCGTTCAGCAACTTCGACTACGACCCCAAATTAGACGAGTTCTTCTTCGACCGCCACCCGTCAGTGTTTTCCTTCATCCTCAACTATTACCGCACCGGGAAGTTGCACTGTCCCAATGATGTGTGCGGTCCCCTGTTCGAAGAGGAGCTGGCCTTTTGGGGCATCGATGAGACTGACGTGGAGGCGTGTTGCTGGATGAATTACCGGCAGCACCGGGATGCGGAGGAGGCGCTGGACAGCTTCGAGACTCCAGAACCGGACGCGCCGGACGACGACCCAGCGCTGGGCGGTGCGGATGGGGACTTGAAAAGACTGTGCATGCAGGAGGACGCAAGGAAATCGGGCTGGTGGAAAACCTGGCAGCCCAGAATATGGGCACTGTTTGAAGACCCCTATTCCTCCAAGTATGCCCGGGTGAGTTACCCATGTCTCTCCTGGAGGGACCAAGTTGTTTCTGTACTGTTGCATATTCCACCTCATTATGTCTCAGACCACTGCTTGACTCATGATAACTTTTAAAAACTTTGTTTTTTAAATGTTCTGTTAACATAATAACTGCAGAGAAACCAGTCCGTCATAATGAACTGCAGGACTCTCACTGTTGGTATGTGTGTGATCCCTGTCAGTACAGCTTGTATTAAATGGCAGGATATAGACCTACTGATATTGAATAATTAATGCTGATAGCATAGGGAAAATGGAAAATGGTATGGCAGGTACCAGTTGATGTAACAACCGCGGTTGTTCACCTCCATGTCTTTGACTTGATGTATTACATGTTTCAGACGAGCTGGATTCACACTGAATGCCGTTTTATTGCTGTCATAATTCCTATCGCCGTATTCTGCTACTTGAGCAGGTTTAATACATATCTGCCTCCAAACGCAGCAGCCGCTGCGCCTCTTGCATCCAAACGCCTTCATTAGATCATATTTGTCCGTTTACGATGCACATCAATGCGCCGTATTTCATGTTAGCCTTATTTATTGTAGCACCGCATTGAGGAGGCTTATACGACGCCTAACCGTCACATTTGAAGTGCATGTCTTTTCCCACATTTGCCCTTGGTAGTGCTACACACTCTGCTGGCTTGTTTTTTTGCCAGTCCCCCTTGTCCCAGTTGAACGCTACATGCCTTTTACGCACGGGCTTTATTGCTGTTACGCATAACTTGCTCCTATGTTGGGATGTCCTCTATTGTTTTCACGTAAATAGTTAATGATTTACCTCTTACAAGCCAATGTTTGATGACATTTGATCATACAGGTGTAAGAGTAACAAGTACCCCTGACTGTGTTTTTGATCCCTGGCACATGAAAACAGTTACAGTGGGCTTGTGGTTCTTTTTTCTCAGACCCTCCAGTTACAGACAAATCCAGCTGCTTGATCACGACCGCTTTGATTTGTGCTGTTTGGTATATCCACTGATATAGTTTGATCATTCTTGTCTTGCACCCTGTCTGTGCTTTTTCCTAATAATATTTTTTCTGCTCTGAGGGTGTGTGAGGACCCAGAGGTACTGTGAATGCATGCATACTGTAGGTGCACATGCAAAACCAGACAGTCAGCAGACACCTGCAGTGGCCAGTTCATGCCATCACACTGAAAATAGCTGAATGTCTGTGAAAAAAAAAAAACATAAATCACTGCACACTCAGCAATACACACTCTATTTACTATCACAGATGAAGACAATAGCTGCACACACAGACTCTTACCCTGTGTTCCCAAACACACACACACACACACACACAAATGCACACAGACACACAACTCCTCTGGCACCAGGTGTAGGTCTACACGCCTAGATTCAGTTCCCTCCAAAGGAAGAGGAAAGTGTCTGGCTGTGACGGACAGATAGTCTGGTTTAGGCAACCTGATCTGTCTCTCTGGACCCGGGATCAGGCAGGAAGTGCTTCACGAACTGTCACTCTCATCCCAATTGGATTGATTTCTCACTATCCCACCCCTCGCTGCCCCTACTCAACAAAACAGCTCGTTGTAAAGTAGTTCTTTGTAGGATGTCGAAATGTGGCATGAGAGGGAGCGAGCATTGGTGCTTGGATTTTGAAATGGCGCACTATGACAAGCATGAGGCCAAAAGAAAAAAAAAAGGTGCTTCACATGTGTATGTAAACAGAAGTGGATTTGGTGGCTGAATTCTCAATTATCTTAGAGCAAGAGGGGGCAGCATTTGAAGCACTGCCATACCTTGGATGCAAGCTACTGTACCTGCTGCCTAGCTGCTAGAATGCTGTATATTATGTAATGTACAGTTTAATACCACATCCACTGGTTACACTGGCTGAGATCTCATAAATGAAACAAAAACTAACGTTCATTGAGTGTAATGGTTGCAGATAGTGGTGTTTGTGATGCCACGTTGGGGTTATGCAGAGTACAGAGCAGGTAGTAGGTGGGATTCATTTCAGCGGCTGCTCACCACTGGCTGTATTTGTGGGTGAAAGCAGCTCCAATTCTCTCTGTTGGTCTAATATACCAGCGCTATACGTCAAACAGCGATGTGACCCAGATCACTCGTATGCCCCCCCCACCCACCACCCACCCTCGCTCTTTCTAAAAGTGTCCTGTCCAACGTGGCAAAACCTTTTGGTTTTTCGGTCCTGAGAGATGCAAATTATATGTGAAGAGAGAAGACAAGAGAGATGAAGAGAGGCTAGGACAGGAAAAAATGAGAGCTGATGTGGAAATACAATGAGACAGATGAGAGAGAGACAGAGGGAAGAAGAGGGAGACGAGAGGAAATAAAGGGAGACAGGAGGAGAGACGTTACTCTAATGATTTAAGGGGATTTTGTTTCCATGGCTGTGATGTAACGCATCAGCAATCAATGTTTTGATCACAGCGTTCAACATGCACGCAGGGTCTTCTTTTTGTTTAGTTTTTTTTTTTTTTAATTCACCGCCTTCTTCGCTCATGATCGTGTGAGGCTCGCTCGTGGATCGTAGTGGCACACACACATGTACAAACGCACACATGCTGGTGTCTGTGCTGGCTTTTCTGCTGCAGTAGACACGGGAGAGAGGAGGAGGAGAAGGGGGGCTCTGGAGGAAGAGAAAAGAGGTGGAGGAGAGAGGGGTGGGGGGGGCGTGAGAGGGATAGGCAGAGCGAGGGAAATGGAGAAGGGGTGAGATAGTGGGGAGAAAAACAGAGGGAAAAGGGAGCGAAGGGGGAGCCTGAGAAGGACAGGGAGGGAGAAAGAGGAAGGCGAGGAGGAGGAAGAGGGGTATTGAGATAAACAGGGAGGAGGTGACAACCACAGAGAGGAGAAAGATGTTGCATGATGGGGGTGGGGACCCTTGTCTTAGCATCTTCGATTATCTGTGACGGCTTGAGCCATCCAATCTTCCTACCCCGGCCCTCCTGCCTGCCTATTGATTGATATTTTATTGATTATCTTCTCTTTTTGTCTGTTTTTAAAGCCATTCTCTGTTTCTCTATCACCTCTTAAAATCTGAGAATACTGACAAAGACTCTGGCTTATTCTTCTCCGCTGAATGGTAACATGACTGTTAACCCACTGGCAGAATTTATGGATGTATATGTTTCTGTTTGATGAAGTGTTATACAATACTATTTGCAACTGATTTCTTTATTGATCTGTGCCTGGTTGACATAGATCTTGCAGCGCAGCTAAGACGACATGGGACTGTTATATCATGCTTGAAAGATTCAGATCTTCTCCCATTTTATCCTCTGCGTGTTAGTTTTTTTTTTTTCTTTCTAACTCACCGTTTTAAACTCTGACAATGATCCTAATTGAATAACTAAGGATCCACCAGTATCGATGAACTGTTTCGCCGGTGTTTTTTTTATTGAACCGGAGGTAATCTAATTTGATGTAATCACTTGACACTCGGCAGGTTGAATATATGTTGTTAGACTAAGATGATAATGTTTGATGGTTATACCTTAAGAGAGGGAATTTTTTCTTTTTGAAAACTGAAATAGTATAATTATAGAAATGGGAAGTGAAGCAGCTGTTACAGTGTTGTGCGGTACGCTATGTGTAGAAATCACATATAAAAAGAAAACTGACTTGAGTGAGTCAGTTTGGGGCATCAAAACTAAACTGAATGAATTTGACACACTGTACAATAATATAGAGTAAATTCTTGCATAAATTTTCTATGAATTACATTTTTCTTAAAAAAAAAAAAAGAAAGTTTTAAATATGATCTCATCAGTATTAATTCTACTGATGCCCGTCCTCTTGTTGTCCTGTAATGTCGTCCCACAGGTTTTCCGCTGTGTTTTGGTCACTTCCTCTTTCATACCAGAAGGGCACAGTTGTCTTTGTCAGCAATCTCCTGACAAAGCACCATTTTGTAGCTCAGCATGTAAAAGATGCCCCTTTGCCCCCTTCCAAATCAGACTTTTTTTTTTTTTGTGCCTGTATTTGATTCGTTTCGGGGGAGCAGCACTTTGTCCAGAACCAACCCCCCCACCCCCCCATCCAACCCTCCTCTCCCTGAAGGTCATGTCTTGTGGTTCATTGTTTGCTGTTCTTTTCCACAGTGTTCAGTGCTGGAGCGCACAATGCTGTCATAAACACAAATGTGACCTGCCACTGCGCCAGACAGCCTCAGAACAGGTCGTCTCTGGGTAGAAAATCACTGGGCTGGACAGAAAATAGAAAAAAACGATGTATTGATAGGTGTTAGTTTATACATATATATATATATAGATATGGTGTTGGGTGGAGGAGAAGATCGCCTGGGGCAGGGTTTAGGTGACATTACCATTTTTTGTCGAGGACATTGCATTACACTTTTAGGGCAGAAGACCTTGTGACCGACAAGCTGAGTCCTGTGTGGGATCGGAAAGATAAAAAGGGGTGGTTGGGTTTAATTATCCAACTAGCAACTTAAAACAGCTGTCAGGAAGGTTTTCCATTTCATTTTCAATAAAGCCTGATGTCCTCGTTTGATTTTAACCATATCAGACATACTACATACTAGGTCACTTCTAATTTTGACCAGTCTAGTGAGATTATTTTGCACCAGTTTTGTTTGCCATGTAGTTCCACATACAGTTCCTCCCAACTCTAGCCGGAGCTCAATGGGAATTGTGGGGAAGGAGAAGGATAATTGTTTGTGCAGGTGCCAGCCAATCCCAGGCCTTGAAGATTTCTTGTTAATGGTGAACTGAAAGATCTTAAGTGTGCAGAATTAAATTTTGATACTTTCAGCAATGGGGTTTTGTATTTGTGCTTCCAAGCTGTTTCCATTCAAACCCAGACCCCGCTGAAAGGCCTATTTCCCACTTCCATTCTTGTTCCTCTCCCAGTGGACTGTATCTGAAAATAGCAGAGAGAGGGGAAGCAGGCCTTAATTTCATTCTCTGGTGGCAAATCTATTCCTCCATCACTGGTGAGGGGATGAGACTGCGCA